CCCCCCCCCCCGCCCCGGAGTTCTCCCCTTGATTGTTACATATCCTCGCTAGGCTTCTTGACATCCTCCCGAACGTCCACGGGAGAATTCGCCCCTGGGTCTTCGGCTGTCCCGGGGGAGAGGAGGGTATCAACGGATGATCAAAAGGTAGAGAGCTCTTGGGGTCGAACTCGATCGTCAACACTCAACACCAACCCCTGTACACTTCGCATCCCAACAAAGCAAGCAGGAATCCATGCAGCAGCAGAAAAAAGAACGTGGTAGCTCTTACGTGGATGCGGTGGGTAGCTCCAAGCTGGTGACCGAGATCGCAAACGCTACCACAGGGGCCGACGATGACGCCGTTTCCTCAGGAGCAGGTCGAGTTTCTCTGCGATATCGAGCGAGCAGGATGACTAAAGTGATCGGCACCTACCTGTGACGGGGCATATCTTTCGGGAGGCGGCGCTTCGAGTTGACGTGTATTTACTGAGTGGTGGGGTGGTTACAAAGAAAAACAAATCAACCTGAAAGGCTATCTATCATCGCATGTCTGCGTGACGCAGGGGGCGTTGTCTTTGTCCAGTTTTTTCCGCCGACCAGGCTACCGTAGATGACATGACGTAAGATTTCACACGCACCCTTGGATCGATTTTCACAGGCGCATTTCTCCACGACGAAGAGGGCGTGTGAGTCAAACGATACGTTTGCGGAAAGCTCCGAGGAGACGGTTCCGACGCCGTTATTTTCGGCACCGCCACTCTTCTCTGCTGCGGAGAACATGAGCTTTGAAAACGGATCCAGGGGGAGTGTTATCTTCCGTCATGTCACCTACGGTAGCCACCTACCGCCTCCCTGCCGCAAAGTAAGTGTGCGAAGGACGTTTTTGCTTGCGTGGAGAATGCTCAGAAAACCCACGTCAGAGGTGGTACGAAACATCAACAACTCCAACCCACATACAACCGTGCTCGCCTACGGTGAAAAATATCTTCTCCATCACAATCTTAGTCTAGACAAGCACCCTGGGGGTAGGAACAACCTCTCGAAACGCATCAACATGCGGTGATTCGACAAATAAAATTCCGAAACACAGGGAGGTCATGGTCACGAAGGGCGGTGTTGTAGGTGTAGTGTTTGCTGGACGCATCAGAAAGACCACGCATGAGCTGTAGTCTCCACCTTCCCTCTCTGCGGTTGAGGAAGAATTCCAGCAGGACAAATTTAGGAGGAAATGGAGGGGTCTCCGGCGTGGAGTGTCGCTGGCCCAAAGGCATTGTTCCCCCCAGAAACTGAAACAATGTAGGGACACACAGGAAAGGAGTCGTTGTCGCGGTATGGCACATCAGGCGAACACACCTGCCAAGTATAGCAGAGCGTTGTAGCGTTCCTTTTATTCATATGACTGAACCCATTCTCAATCATCCGCCGGGTAAAGAGCCGGTCGATGCCGAATCAGATACACACTTCAACACAAGCGTTAAAATACTCGTGCTGCTTGCCATCGGTGTAGCGGTCGATCCTAATTACAGACACACACGCGCAGTGCGGTTTTCTTCTGTTGTGCTGTGGTATCTGTCTTTAATCCGGAGAGTAAGCGTAGCCCCCCCCATGACGCTCGGTCACAGGGTCCCAGATCGTGGCCTAAAGAAGCATATTGTGTTTTCCACCGTACGGAGACTCATGTCTTTTTATTGGTCACCTGGTTAGCGCGGTCGATGCTCCTCCATTTGGAATTATTATTCCGGCGGACAAACTGAAATATAAAGATTTCGAGATGCATAGTCTACTACACGTAACTTCCATTGATTTGAATTATTATTCCAGCTCGTATCACTAATTTCCAGAATTTCCTCATTGCAAGGATTCAAACAGACGCTAGTAACTCCAGTATCCAGCAGGCGTGCATAGACTCACTGCCGTGAAGAGTTGCGGCTCTGACTCACAGGCAAAGAAAATTTTCATTTCTCAGCCATTGAGAATAGTCGGGCGGGTGGACTCGTTGTTCTGTCTTGCAATGCTGCTGTACGTCCAACAGACTTAAACGAATTACACTTCGTTGCTGTATGAATCCGATGTGCTGCCAGCGTTGACACTGTTGTTGGCGCACCATGGGTGCACAAATCTGAGCAGAGGTTGCAGATTTCGACAGATGCAGGCGAACCTCCTCTCGGTCACCGCAATAAATTTTACCGTACACGACACAAGATAACATACCCCTTAGACCGATTTTCAAAGCTCGATTTATCAACAGCAGAAAGAGTCGCAGCGCCGAAATGGCGGCGTTAAGCCGTCCGGTGGAGAGCTCTCCAAAAGCTTATCGTTTCCGTTTTTGCATCCTCTTCGTCGTGGAGTAGTCGAGCTTTGAAATCGGTCCAGGGGGTGTTATCTTTGTAAATTTAGTGTACGTATGATATGTACGGTGAACGCTCGCGAATTTTCCCAAAAAAAATCTACACTGGGGTTGATGCACAACTCAGCAGCAGACCCTGTACTGCATCGTCCTATAGGAATATGGCACTCTTGCTCGATGGTGGCGACGAAACTCGCTTCGACCCGCAATCAATCATTGACGTTACGTTTCATGAATCACCGGTCATGCGTCCGTACAAAGCATCCGTGCTGTCCTGCTGAAGAACGATCGGCTGAAATCAATCTCATTTGTTTCTCTACAACAGTCCTCTGTCTCTGCCTGCGTAGCTGCTGGCGACACCACACGCATTTTGCTCTTCTTCAAACAGCTACACGCTGCTACTGCTGTACTGCAGTATCATACGCGAGCCCTCTCTGTCTCACCTAGGAGCGAACTGCCATTGCCGCCGCAGGAGAAAGCTAAAACTGCAGACCACGGCAAAGGTCAGGCACGGATAGATCACGCATCGCATCCCGGATCGGACCCCACCGCCCCGCCTCCTCTTGCCGCCACCGTAGTTCCTGATCGATTGGCCCCTCACCTCTACCATTATCACACCTGGAGCCACGAACACGCGGACGAGCAGCAGTTACGACGAGCCACCGCAACCGACAGCAGCAGCAAAGCAGCAAGCAGAGTGCCAGACTCCCCGATAGGGACACAGCAGACAGCACTACACAGGTAGTACTGCATTACATATACATGTGATGAGGAAAATATACAACCGCGGAGCCCCTCCGGTCGCTTGCCTTGGTGCGCGGGCAACGCACAACAGACAACTAACAAGCAAGAGAGACAGAGCAAGAACAAGGGGCAGGAAGAGAAGAGGAAACTAGGGTTACGTTTATCACAGTCACGAGACATGGAGCCTCGACATCCTCGGGACAAGAGGCGACGCCGAGACGCCCCCCGTCTTCACTCGAACTGCGACGGAGGCAACGGCGGGATGATATCAACATCAACATGCCCCTCTGTCGTGTCCAAGAGGGACAAGACAAGAGCGCTGGTGTTAACCCTGCTCTACCTCTGCTCCTGTCCGGTAGTCTCGACTGATTCCGCCGCCCCTGCCCCTCCGCCCCCCCCTCCACCACCTCCGCCTCCACCGCCACCTCGTGATGCCCCTCGAGGAGGCGGTGCAACCGCATCAGCAGGGAGCTCTCGAGGTGGGCAAGCGCTGCCGAGGTCTAGTCGCGATGGAAGCGCGGAGGACGTTGCCGCGACAGCTTCGGCCGTTGCCGCCGCTGCTGCTGCTGCGGCGGCGGTGACAGACGCGGGGGGCGGGGGGAGCACTGGAGGGGAGTCTACTGCAGGTGAACGCCAAAATATTGCCGTATCCCTTGTTCTTCGTCGAAAGCGGCTTCGCTCGTGTGGAAAGTCTACAAGAGTCCACAGAGGAACAGAGAGCTATTTTTTGACACCAGTACGAATGATTTAGTGGAGAACAAACCCGTGTTCAGCACGTGCAGGAAACTCTACGAGTGTCCACACTGCTTATCATAAGCATCCGTAGAAGCTAACTCCACGTATCGTAGAACAGCAGCACCTAGACAGGTTTCAGACTCCCCTGGGAAGGTCTCCAAGGGACATGCGCGCACCTCAACATGGTATGAAGTAGTACCTGGTTACGGACACTGCTGTGTAGGCAACACACCGCCATGTCAAGACTTGGCAGGACATGTGCTACGTGGCTCGGGAGCCCACCATGGAGCGTGGAGAGCTTCAAACGAGAGGCGGCACCGATGGTGTTTGCAGCCAACTATATATACAACAGTTTCTACGTGTTCTCGTCATATCTGGTCTCTTGCATTTGGTGTCGCCATCTTGACCCCCAGCCCCACGCGTGCAGCGCCCACTCGACTCCTCGTTGCTTGCGTATGAATACGGCCTAAACGGCTTGGTCGTTTTCTTGGCAGGGGAAACAACGACCGATCATCTCGACCTCATGGATGGCCATCTTACGGACTCCGAACAAGATCACGGATACTCTCATGAGCGCTACCAACAGGAGCGCCACCACCAGGTGCAGGGGCACCCACGGTCAAGCTGGGTCGATCAGGGAGGCGTCAACGGAGGGAGAGCGAACGCTAACGCCTGGGCGGATGGTGATGACGCCTCCGCGCAATGGAGCAGGGCGGGGAGGGGGGAATGGAGGGGTTTCGACGAGAGCTGGAAGGGTGACGGGGAAGGGGCAGAGGGCAGGCCGTGGAAGCACGAGGATCTGAAGCAGCTGCTGCAGGTGCTGGCTGGCTCTCCGTGTGTTCGGAACCAATTGCAGAACCCTTGAAGAAACAAGCACTTACGCCTGTGTGAAGAAGTGAATGGTGCCTGGACATAATGGCCGTGAGGCGAGCATAGGTGCCTGGCGCTACACAACGCCGTGCTTACGACGTCGTTAGAGTAGGTCTACAGACGACAGGGTACAAGACGCTTGCGACAAGAGCTCGGTACATGAGCGTGTGCCACACCCGTCCGAGCGCAAGAGCACCCTGTCAATACGCGGCACATCAGTCGTGGGTTCGCTTATGTAGTGATCGTGAAGCCAGACTTGGAGGAAGATTTAAAATTATCATTGTGCTTGCCGATGCTTCTCCGGTCCCCGCTCCACTCATGAACCAAATGGCACGACGACGAATTTGTCTGGAAGGATCTGGAAGACACCGAGATAGCTGGAGCAGGCGGTGCAAAGAGGGGGCGGGGACGCAGAAGGTACCGGTCGCCCCCCCCCCCCCGTCCCGGAGCAAGAGGCGGGGAAGGCGTTGTTGCCGGTGAAACCGACGAAACCGATGAAACCGAAGACGGCGTGCCGAGGAGGCGACCTGGGGCGGGGTGGGGAACGCCACCTAGCCAAGGTTCGCTGCCTGTGTGTAGATGTCCTACTGCTGTTTTTGGCGAGCTCTCGACATTGCTCGTCTCCCCAAAGGCTAGGACGAGTCTTTACGGGTCGTCCTCAACATGCTGTTTCTATGTGGAATCTTTTTTATCGTGGATCCGTGTGGAGACTTTCGGTTTGTTTGATATTTGGACGTGACTTTAACCAGTGTGCAAGGCTTGGGACGATGGCTATCCCCCGTTCCCCCCGGGCCCTGTTGAACGAAGGCGTCGACCCCTCGTTGTAGAACCCTGTGCAGAAAAATCCTCACGTCCTTTCTTCTCCTCCTTCTCCTCCTTCTCCTTCTCCTCATCCCCTCCTCCTCCTCCCCATGGTACACGCCCCCCCGCCCCCCCGCCCCCCCGTTTGGTTCTCCCGGTGGTGGCGGCGGGAAAAAGGTGGCCAGAGGGATGGAGAAGGCGACGGCGTCGTCGAAAGGCGTGATCAGACAAGCAGCACTGGATCGGGACCGAGAGCCACGGCACAAGGAGGAGGAGAAGAGGGGGGGGGAGGCAGAGGGCGGGATCAGGGGCTAACGCTGGGTCCCCCCCCGCGATTCCCCGGGACGGGGATGGGATCGGCGGGCAATGCCGCTTCAGGTGAACCGGATGCTAGCTTGACACCAGGTTCTGGATCGCCTTCCCAAAGCGATCAAGGCAACGGTGAGATACAGAGGCCGATNGGGGGGGGGGGGGGGGGGGGGGGGGGGGGGGGGGGGGGGGGGGGGGGGGCTCCGCTGAGGTCGTTGTAGCTCGACGCGTCTGCATTTGTGTGGCATGGATATATTTCTATACAACAGGCAGCTTGATTATTTCGCCAAACGCGGTGTGATGTGCAGAACCGAATTGTTTTTCTCGGCTTTCCAAAGTGTCAGCTTCGACTTGATATATTTGGATTGATCCTCGGCTATCAACTGCTATCGGGTCGCGCTTTGTCCACAGCGCCGCCTCAGTTTGCGAAGAGGCGCGTGCGCGTCACGTGGGAGGCGGAGGGATGGGGCGAAGGCGAGCAAAACGCGGCGCAATTGAACTCGGGCGTCACGGACGCGGGGCAAGCGACGTCGTTTCGGAGCAACGACCAGTACGACGACAACTACTACTACGGCTCTGTCGCAGACACACACGCCGCTGAATCGCAGCAGGTGATGTACTGTCCTAGACCATCAGGAACCACGTTCAAGTTCCACCGCACGTGCGTCCTTCGCAGTGGGCGTCGTCAAGTTTTTGTGTGTGAAGGCATGCTGCCGGCGTCAAGGCCACGGCAGTGAGGAAAGCGAGGTTCCTCGACATTTTTTTTTTTTTTGCGAGCCGGACGATCCAGCGACGCGCTGTGATCATGCAAATCTCGTGCCATCGCCTTGCCCACTCGACACCAGCTCGTACATGTCGCGCGTCTCACGCGCTCCCATTTTGTTCGGTGCGTTCTCTATCCTTGATCTCCCCAGCTGCCAATCTCGCCAGACCTCTAACCTCTAACCGCGACACAGCAGCACTATGCTTGACAACTTGCCCGTGTGCATGGAAATGTACGTCTTCTTTTGTGCTGAGCCTTCCCTGCCCCCCCCTCTCTCTGTCTCTCTGTCTCTCTCTTCCTCCCTCCCGCTCTCCATGTATATATCTCTGCCCCTCTCTCGCCTCTCTGTCTCTCCTCTCTCTCTCGTCTCTGTTTTCTCCCTCTCTGTTTTTTGTTGGAAGCACTACCACGAGGGCCTGGTCGGATCCCTTTTGCAGAGCGGAGACTTCAGCGACACCGGGTCGGCCGGCACTTGGACAGACGCTGACACGGAGGAGCTCGTCGTGGGACACAGCCACGGACGCTTGGAGCACCTCACGGCCTACGGGTGGGTACCCCTCTGAAGCTACGAAAGTACAACCCGGTGGTGCTTGCAGTATTGGTTCCGTCGACAGGGTATATGTGTGTGGATATCCAGATCCATGAACGCATTCCGTTGTACGGGATGGGCTTCCTGTATGGTCGCGATCGTGGAGTCAAGCGCCCCCGCCGATCCAATGCAGCTGTCTCCCCTCTCCCGTCTTCGTACTTACGATGCTCTATTCATCTAGGCGGCGTCATCACTGTTTTTGCGCCCCACCCACCCCCCCATTGTAAGGTTCCTTCCACCTTGACGTTTGACACTTCAATGGCTTTCAAATATAGCGAAGCATGTTTTCTACCATCATGTACTTTTGCGTATCCCACCCCCACTCCCGTTATTGTGCGTAATGCCCCGTTCCCGTTGTCAATATGCAGGTACCATCAGAGGTACTCTCACGCTACGGTGGGATCGAGGGTTGGGGGTAGGGTGCCGGGTCGCAGGCTGGTGATGCCGCCTGGAGCACCGATCGGACGGACGGGGTCGTCCGCCCCGCTTGGCGCGAGCACGCCTATTCTCGACCTAGACTACAGCGCAAAGGTAGGCAGACCAAGGTGTTTGGTGTCTGTGTTCCTTCCTTTGATTAGTTGTGTTTCCTTTTCCTTGTAATCTCAACCCACCCGCCCCCACAGAGAATGCCTTAAATACTTCCACTTTCAACAAGCAAAGGGTAATGAATTGGTCACTATGTGGTACTTTGAGTAGTCATTGACGTGCGAACATGTCGCTCGCTGTTTGGTGACGATGCACGCCAGTGAGAGGCGGCCGTACGCTTGCGGTGCGTTGCATGCAGGCATTACTGCCTTGCCTCGTTCCGGGTGGTCGCTGTCGTTTGCAACCCACGAATGTCAAGGTTAAGGATGATGGTTTGTTGGGAGTGTGACGCCGATGTTTGGTTTGCCGTCCTCTGTCACAGCGAAAGTCGTCGAAGGTGGATTGGATGATGCACGTCGGTGGTGTGGTTCCATAATTGGGACCGCTCCGCTGGTGGTGAATAGATGGATAGATTGATCGATAGATTGGTGTTCCGCAGTGTCATTTATTCCGTTTTTTTCGACCCACATGTGTCGTGTTTGCGTTTCAGGTGCTTGACTACGGCCGAAAGGACGGGACTGGCCCTCCCAAGACTCTCACACTCAGGTATGTACGTGTGTGCTTGTGGGGTGCTTATCTGTCTACCTTGCTGCTTACCTGCCTGTCTGACTCTCTCTCTTGTCTCCCTCTTTCCCTCCATCTATCTCTCTGTGTGTGTATCTCTTTCTCTCTACCTCTCTCTCTCTCTCTCTCTCTCTCTCCCTCTCTCTCTCCTCGCTATCTGTCTCTCTCTTTGTGTCTCTGCCTCCCTCGAAAATTGTGAAGGCAGGTGGGCCGGGAGAGGGGGTTGATTTGGCAGAGGTATACAAAGCACTAAAAAGTACATCCTACACGTCCTTGGTTTGATTAATTTCGATAGTTTTTGTTTTGGGCACGCGATGAGTCTACAACGAGAACCCAAACAACATGATCATTAGTCTTTCTCAGGCCCTTAACTTATATCTACGTTGACAAAATCTCCCGAAGGTTCCCCCCGGAATGTTTTGACTGTTTTTGTGGCCATCGGTGTGGACCCACGGGGCAAAAAAAAAATGGCCGCTGTACACACAAATTAATTTTTTCTGTGGCGTTTGTACCGGTCCCGATGCCCAAGGGCAATGGCAAGTACTTTGAACATGTTCCAACCAACCGCGCGTCTGCGACATGTACTGCGTTTCTTTGTCAGCCTCACAAGAAAAGCAGTTGAGAAGCGCTTACATACCCACCCATCACGGCACAGTAGGAAGCGCACGCACGTACTCCTGTTGTTGTTGTTCCGCGTTAGTCATCCTGGGTGTTGCTGCCGCTTGCAGTTAACACATTAAGCCACGGACCTTGTGTCTCTCGATTTCTCGTCACACAAGAACAACTCCTCCGCTCTGTGCATGCCTCGCTCCATTTTCCCTCGAATGCGAGGCGCGCTTGTCTCGTCACGCTCCTCTCACGGCACGTCCAACGCGTTCGGTCTTGTTTTCGCCAGGTCATGGTCGCGGATCACAGGTGCGGCAGGCATTGCCACGGCAGGCGCCTTCCTGGCGGTGTCCCCCAACAACGCGGCTCGAGACCTCTACCTCGCGCTCTTTCGGCGCAACCTCGGTTTGATCGTGAGTTATTTCAGCCTTTTGAGTGCACCGACTCCAAGACTCTTTACGGTACCTGTTTTTGGCGTCGTTCGCGCCACCTGGTACCGTCGGGGTCCCGGTTTAGTGGTTATTTGTTGCGGGATGCCCTCAATAGCGGTTACACAATGTTGGGACACTATGGACCGCTCAACCGGGACGAGGACTGTACTGGTATCGCAATGGCATGTGTGAAGCAGTGGTTTTCAAATGGTAACAAACCCTTCGAGGCCCGAGGGTTGATCGCGATGGGCCAATTCCGAATCGAAGCTTCCGAATCGTGTTCGGCAGCTTTTGTAGAAGTTTGGCCCTCGTTCGTGTCGTGCTATGCCGGATAAAGTTTTGCTTGTTGCCTTCAACACAGCGCCTCGCGACGCGATCTTGGCTGTGTTCGGGGCCATCTCGGCTTCACCGTGACTTCGATTGATTGAGCTGGGTTAAGAGTGTGTTTGGGCTTTTGGGGAGGAATCGCGGCTTCACTGCTGTGACTTTGATTTCACGTGCGTTTGGGTTGTTGTATGCGATGTCGGTTTTGTGCAGGGAATGGTCCATATTTGGCGCGTTGTTTGGCAAGCGTTCAAAACAGCAACCGGGCGCCACTAGTCGCCCTCGCCCGGCAAACACTTACACCACACCTGTCTCCGCACGAAGAGTCCACCCACACGATACGGAGCAGCACCAGGCGTTTTTATTCAACATGTCGCTTCCACCAATCGTTTTTCGGCCTTGCGCTCTTGCCCGTTTCGCAACACGCGACAGGCGGCCTCCCTCGTGGGCCCCGCCGTGTACTCGTGCCTCCTTTATGACGGCAGCAAGGCCAACATCAACACCTACGTTAGGGTCGTGACATTCGCCTTCACGTGGGGGTATCTCATCTCCTTCGCCCTAGAGATTGTAGCGGTGAGAGAGCGGCCTACCGTGGGTGACATGACGTAAGACAACACACCCTCCTGGACCGTTTTTCATTCTGGTTTTCGAAGCTCGGTTTCTCCACAGTATAAAAACAGTGACGAACAGAGCTGCGTTGGAACCGCCTTGTCGAGAGCTTTCTGAAATCGTATCGTTTGAGTCATGCACCCTCTTCGTCGTGGAGTAATGGAGCGGTGACAATCGAGGTAGGTGTGACAACTTGTGGCACCCACGGTACTGGAGACAGACGAAGGAGATACACGCGACGACGACGCTTGTACAGCAATAGTCCAAAAGAGTGTGACGGTAGCGTATGGCGAGAGCGGCACGTGTTGTGGCTGCTGCGAGTTTTTGACGTAGCGTATGTGGCAACGGCCGGCATGTTAGAAGAGCGCGCCACACTCCAAACGTATGTATCTTCCCGAAAGCAGCCATATATTGAACACACGCTTGCCATTGTGGACGTGAAATTCCAGGAATTTGCAGCAACTTCGTACTTAAGAGTTAGAGAAATTGGAGGATGATTTTGTGTGTTTTGCTGACGTATGCTGAGGTCACCCCGGTGGTCTAGTTGGTAACCTCGAAACCCAGGGGTTCGGATCCCGGCGTAAGCGCGCTTTTGTTGTTCCAACGTGAGTTTTTCTCTCGCTTCCGCTCCTGGCCTAGTGGATTGCGCTAGTCCGTGTGTACGCAGAGGGAAGAGAGTGCTGTGAACTCTTCTCACATTAACAATCGAAGGCGACGTGCCGCAGGAGGGGAGGGTGGAGAGGGGCCCTTCTGTGTGACCACTGGTTGAAGTAAACGGCAGTGGGGCTGTGAGCGCTGAGAAAAAGAAAAAAAATGCTAGGATAACACACGCACCCTTGATCGAATTTTGAGCTTAACACCTGGGTGGGCAGACAAGGTGTGCGCGTTAAACAAAGGGGGCTCTAAAAATATTTGATCGAATCGCGATACCAAAGATCAAAGACGCTACGTTCGTTCTTCGAAGCCCTTTTAGGTGTCGAGGTACCGAGCTTCGAAAGCCTTCCTTTAGGGATGCGGAGGAACATGATACCCGTCGGTGAATTCACGTGGTAGCAGTCAATATCCTCCTTCGGCTGCTGTCGGTGCATGTGCCTAAGTCATGCCATCCCATTGCACTTGCATGCTTGTTGTCTTGCTTGTTGTGCTTCCGCAGGCGACGTTCTTCCAACTGTGCGTCTTGGCGGTTATGGAGCCCAAGGCATTCGACCTCACGCCGCACGTGCCCGCCATATTCCTTCCCTGGGTGCTGAGGTGAGAGCTGCAAATTGTTGCGTACAGATAGCGCACGCACTCAAGAACCTCTATGTAGTGTTGGCCGAGGCTGTTTTTTTTCTAGTTCTCGTGGGTTGCAATAGGCCGCTATTCAGGTGTTTGGGTAGCCGAGCTCGCAAATTTGTGCTCAAGTCCTTAGTTTTGATATATGGTTGAGCATGAAAACCGTAAGTGCGGGCGCTGCCTGTATAGTAGTAGAAGTATTATTTTTGACGCGGGATACCTGTTGTCTGTCTTAGTTTTTATGCTATCGCCGCTCTCACTCTCTCATTCTCTCACTCTCTCACTCTTGCTATCGACCGAAGCAAGGTGACCAGACACGACTGCATCCGTTCCAAGGGATAGAGAGAGAGAGAGAGAGAGAGAGAGAGAGACAGAGAGACAGAGAGACAGAGAGACAGAGGCAGAGAGACAGAACGAGAGAGAGAGAGAGAGAGAGAGAGAGAGAGAGAGAGAGAGAGAGAAAGAAAAAGAGAGAGAGAGAGAGAGACAGAGAGACAGAGACAGAGAGAGAGAGACACACACAGAGAGACACACACAGAGAGAGAGAGAGAGAGAGAGAGATGAGAGAGACAGAGACAGAGAGAGAGAGAGACACACAGAGACACACACACAGAGAGAGAGAGAGAGAGAGAGAGAGAGAGAGAGAGGCTTGAACCTGCGCCCGCCGCCGCCCATTCGATCCATCCGTCAGTTCAGTGTGAAGATATGCCAGTAAGAAGTCAACGGAGAGGATGTCGTAAGCGAAAGAAGGGGGGAGTTAACGACGCGCATCCCNAGAGAGAGAGAGAGAGAGAGAGAGAGAGAGAGAGAGAGAGAGAGAGAGAGAGAAAGAAAAAGAGAGAGAGAGAGACAGAGAGACAGAGACAGAGAGAGAGACACACACACAGAGACACACACACAGAGAGAGAGAGAGAGAGAGAGAGATGAGAGAGACAGAGACAGAGAGAGAGAGAGACACACAGAGACACACACACAGAGAGAGAGAGAGAGAGAGAGAGAGAGAGAGAGAGGCTTGAACCTGCGCCCGCCGCCGCCCATTCGATCCATCCGTCAGTTCAGTGTGAAGATATGCCAGTAAGAAGTCAACGGAGAGGATGTCGTAAGCGAAAGAAGGGGGGAGTTAACGACGCGCATCCCTTGGCAGCTCCGTACGGCCGCCATCCGATGAAGGAGTTTGTTACCGGAACAGACGCACGTGTGTTGTGCGCGTACGACTGGCGTTGGTGTTTGTTGACGTTTTGTTGAGACCCTGCTGCAGACTGGTTCTCAGAATAACGCTGCTTGTTGAGCAACCCGTAGGATTGACATGCTTGTAGCGCCATGCTTCTTTTCGCAGTGCACCCATTTTAGGCTGCTGACACGTCTCGAAAGAAGCCAGTTACGAGAAGGGCTATAGAAAAAGTAACGCCCGTTTGTCTTGAACCCCGTGGTTCTCCTTGGTACTTTTTGGTCGGTATCGCTTGCCAAAAAGAAGTTGTGTTGCCAACTTGTTGTCGTGGATTGTTACTGTTATTGCCGTTTCGTCCGCGCAGAGAGCATGGGTACGTACCATCTTCCCTGTTTTCTTGCCTGGCGGATCTGCTCTCGTTCTGCGTGGGAGCGCCTATTGTGGAGTGCGCCATGATGGTAAGCTCGGCGGGAAAACGATTGTTCATTGTATATACTTACGTAAATTTTGAGCGGTAGTCGTGTACGTTCGTGTTTTCATACTGTATGTGTACCATGTTTGTTTTTTCTCCGCGAGGGACATATGGTGGCCAAGAGACATCGCTGCGCGTCGAGCATTTTGAGCGCCCCCAACGGTAATGTGGGGTGGTCGCAAGACGTACAGCCGTGCCGTCGAGTGAGGTGCCGTGTTCGCCGCAATCGGTAACCCTCTGAACAGCACGCCGCACCCGTTTCTCTTCGTTGGAATCCCGCCAATGTTGTGGCCGGGGGGGGGGATGACATGGAATTTCCAGGCCAAGCTCTTTCTACGGTCACCTCCCACTCCCCTTTGGTTGTCTGCAGCTGCCGAGCTTGGTTCTGTGTTGGCATGTTTTCCCTTCGCGCTCGCCCCAGGACCCGTTCACCCGGAGCCCGCCGATCTTGTCGTGTCTTGTCAGGTTTGGATTGTGCGTCGGCTTGGGGCCTTGCCGAAGCGGGTCGCCTCGCCCCTCCCCACAGCAGAGGAAGAGGCCACAGACCCAGCAAGGGTCGGCCTCCGCAAGACCGGCGGCAAGAGCAACAATGACGACACCGAGGACAACTCCAACGCCGAAACGGAAACGGCACCCTTCGGCGGGAGTACGGCGGAAGAAGGGGCAGGGGGTGGCAGCGGCGGTGGCGCTATAGTCGCTTCTTCTTCTGTTGTAGGGGCCGTGGCGAACAAGGAGAAGCGTGCGAAGAGGCTAGGGTGAGAGGGAGGGGGGCGGGGGGGAGGGGGCGTTGTTGCCTTTGCTTGAGTCAAACTTGACGCCACTAATGGCCCATCGTGGTGACGATGAACCACCGTTCTCGCCATTGTAGTGGAGGGGATTCCGATGTTAAGTTTGCCGTTGATGCTGTCGCGTTAGGCCACGTTTTACTTTCCCTTTTTGTCCCCTGTTGCCGTTGTGAGGCGGGGAAGGTGAGGACCGAAAGGCGTGCCTATCTCTGTGCAGACGCGGCTAAGGTCGCCTTTCACCCTTTTTGTCGTTGGTCATTACTTTCTAATGCTAAGGCGCCGGCCATGTTTAGAGATACTCTACCGCCCACAACAAGCCGAACACGTTGTGCGGCGGCGATACGATTGCCTGGACGGAGAAAATGCCCACAAAACGGCCAGACAGCAATACGCTCGCTTGTTATCTCTCTCATCTTGCACCTACGTCATCACGTCGTCCGTTTACCCATCCTCCCGCCACTCACCTTTCAATAGATCGTCGCCCTCGCCCAATCCACGCATTCCGACTTTATGACCCCGGCTGATATGTACGCCAGAAAATGTACACCGAAAGTTTAGTACCACATTGAATGGGACGAACAAACACACACGCATAACTCTGGTGTTGCAGACCGTTCCGAGACAGGGCCGCTACCGCAACGGCAGCATCGGACGCTGCCAAGGCGGCGAGGACTGCGGCGGAGGCCGCGGAGGCTGCCCAAGAGCCCACCCATGTTCACACCTACCTCCTGTACGTGCTAGGCTCCGCGATGGGCCTGAAAGCGGCGTGCACTATGCAGAGGGTGCTTGTCTACACCAGGGAGTATCACGAGCACAAGACGTTCTTCGCGGTCGCTCGGTGAGAGACGGTGGGGGGG